AAAAAAGTATATTAGCAAATAAAATATAAAGAGAAAACTTTATTAGTAATTATATTAAAAGATATTGACAAAAATTATTTATATCAAGAAATCAAATCTGTTCTCAATAAATATAAACATACAATAAATATTCATATTTATAACTATTTTTAATTATAACAAAGAATCAAGATACATATTACTCCTTATAAGGAATATATTAACATTAAGAAAGAATAGATAGATAAATTATTATTTAATAAATATGTGGATTTAATTATTAGTTTGATAATTAATATATAATCATTAATATTTAATTTAAATTGATTTGATATTGAATTTATTATATATTATATATTTTATTAAGTTAAATTTATTTATACAATATATATCTAATAGAAAATGGATAATTTTCAATATTTTAAATATTGTTTGTTCAAATATTAAAAAAAATTATATAATTTTATTATTATTATTTATAATATTAGATTAGTTCTTATTAATTTATTTTTATTTAAATTAATATTAGATTGTAATATTTTAAATTAAAAAAAAGAAATTTTTAAATTTATTAAGATATAAAATTTATAAGATATTTATAATTATTTAAGTTAGAAGTTTTTTTATTATACAATATTTTTAATTATATAATTGCAAATTTTAATTAATAAAAGATTGAAAGTTTTATTTTATATAGTTTAACTTAATAAAGAATAATTTTTTATATAATTAAATATAATCTTTATAAATTATTTGATAAACTTAATTAGAAAATGTTTTTTTTTTAATTTTTGTAAGGTATTAAATATAAAATTTTGCAATTAGTAACTTAAAAGTATTATTATTGTGCAATATATATATATATAAATTTTATTTAATATAATTTTTAATTATTTTAAATTTATAGCATGAAATATTTAAAATCAAATTATAAAAATTGCTTGTAATTTTATAAACAATAAATAAAATCAAATAAAATTTTAAGTCTATGTTCTTGAATACTTATAAAATAAGATTACTTAGAACTTATAAATGTATTAAAAATATATATATTATAAAAATAATTTAAATTTAAAATTAGTTATAGTAAATTAAATATATAATTAATTAAAATTTAATATAAAAATTTTATTTTTTTATTTTAAAAAATAATATATGAAATTTTTATAATTTAAGAATATATTTATTTAATTATAGAAAAAATAAATATAAGAATATACTATTGTTGATATATCGATTATTTGTTTTTTAAAATTATGATTTCGATTTATAACTAGAATTTGTTTAATTAAAAAAACAAATTTTTTTCATAAATTTACTTTTATCACTAATGATATTATTAAAATACTATATATCATTATAGTTAATAGAAGCTTATTTACATTTTAAAAATCAATACTATATATTTTACATTTGTTAATTATTTTTGATAAAAATTTTAAAAATTATAAAAACAAAAATTTCAATGAAATATAAATCGTTGAAGAAAAAATTTTTAATATAGTAAAACTTTATAACAAATTATTTCAAAGACAAAATTAATTTTAAAATATGATAAAAAAAGATTGTAAATAAGAAAACGCAACTCTTCAAGTTGTTTGAAAAATGATATTAAAATTTTATATAAAAACAAAGTTATTGGAGTATTTGAAGTAGACAACAAATTACATTTTACGTCTAACCACTAACCATAAATGTGACGGATATTTCATGTTCCGGATGCACGTTTCCTAGTAATAAAAATTGTCCAAATTAAATATTTAATAAAATAAAAATTTTCAAATGAAATATTACTTTAATTTATAAGTACAAAATCTTTATGCAGCATAGAAATCTTAGATACAGTAAATAGTATTTATTATAATATTATTTCAAATAAAATCATATTATGTAACAAATAAATATGACAAATGATAAAAATAGTATATCTAGATAGTATTTTTTTGCCGTACAGAGAAATGTGTTTGTTCTCACAACCTGAAATTAAATATTCATTTAAGATGAGGCAATACAGTACGGTAATATGGGAAAGTGATAATCGGTTTTAAACAGCGTATACAGAAAAATTTTTTTTCAAAATTCTACGCCCAACATGCACACACAACAGAATCAGATAAAGAATGATTTTATCTCAACGACCCAAGGTCCATCGATAGACGACAATCCCCGTTTTAGAAGACATTTGGCACCTCAATGCAACACTCAGTTTATTGGTCTAATTTTAGCCTGATCCCTTTGTGGGTCAAACATGACTCTAGGCTCCCAGCAAGTACTCTAGCACAACACCTGCTAATTAACAGTTGCACTGCTTAAATTAATCTCCGGAGACGGCAGAACAGAAGACGAAGAGAAGGCATCTTACTGATCTCAAATTGATCACTTGTTTCTTTCATTGACATTGATACTTCTAAAATGAAACTCATGAATCGGCAAGTTTATTCCGGAGTTTTGATCACAATATCGATGCCAAAAAGGCTGAAGCAAAAACGGTCGTTTCAACACCAGTCTAATCTCGACATTTAGAGTTATCGGGATGTTCTCTGGGTCTAAAATTGGAACGAACACGAAAATTGGTTGCCTGTCGGCGGAAACGTACGAGTTATCAACGATGAAGGATCATTCGGCGGTGCTTGATTAAAAATTCATTGAACGGAAAATTTTAGAGTTCATGGTGCACACAGAATATCTGCACGCGAATGGCAATTTAGATTTCAGCATGCAACTTCAACTCGATGGATGTTTGTGGTGAAGTATTTAATTGAATCTTATCATTTATTCTCCATTATGTAATTAAATTATTGATATTAAAAATTTTGTTCATTGTCACCCATCAACTTTTTTTTTAACTATGTGGAAATGATTCTCCTGAAAAAGATGTACGCGCGTGTTTGCGCACAAATAATTTACGTTGTTCGCAATGCGCCTAATGCGGTGACACAATATTTTAATGATAAAAAAATATCCACGTACATATGGTGAATCATTTCACGAAAATTGTCTCATGTTAAACTTAGACTAATGGCAAAAACTTTTTATCGAAGGGCAAAAAGTTTTTCCCTAAACATTTGTTTGTTGATCAAAGTGTCACGGCGATTTACCTACATTATTGGTTAATCAATTACTACCCAAAGAAACATGAAACCTGATGTGGGTCAGCGAAACCATCGGTGATATCCACGTGAACTGCGATGAAATTAAAAAAATTTTTCAATTTATTATATTTTTTATTAATTAATAAAATTTTATAATTGTTTGCTGTAGACAAAAATAGATTACGTTAAACATGTGAGAAATGCGCTATATATATATATATATATATATATATACAGTATTTATATATATATACTGTATAGACTGTATATACTGTATACTGTATATGCGCATATCAAAAAAAAAAAGTCGTTTTACGAGCTATTATGATCTAGTATTCGATTATTAGGCCCAAACGTTTATAAATTGTTTTCTTGCTTCTTATGTCGTTTACTATTTTTAGGTGCTAGTTCAAATAAAGCAAGGCGGATTTCCGCACGTCACCGTACAATATCACTCGTTACTTTATGCTTAAAGGGATAAAAGAGGAAAAAAAAATGGCAGCGAAAAGTGAAAGAGCGCCAATTGTTTGCTCAATGTTGATACTATTTGCTGATCAAATACATGCCAACTTTGCATTAGTAAAGTATCGCTGCGGGTAGTAAAAGACTGAAAGAAGTAAAAAACGTGTCGCATTAATTTTTCATAACAAAATGGTGCAATTTTTGTATTAGCACGGCACGAAACCTTCTTAAAGTAAAACAAAAGCAACGTCCACGATGACACACGATTCCTTATGGGGAAGCTGGCAGTTGAGGCAAAAAAAAAAACGGCTTCGGCGCTTCGTTTTTGATATAATGATTATTTGCAGGTTTCATGGTTTCTTTTTTTCACAGACACAAACTCGGTTTCATTGCTATTTATAGCGACAAACCAAGATAGGATTTGGTCGATTACATAAACATGCTCGAATTTAACAGAAAACAATTATTGGCGACAACTTTCGTATCCGTTACGCATTCAATTAATTGCTCCTTGAAATCAGTGGGCAACGTTGAAATCTTAGAATTACCATTACACAACTGATCGATGTTCACACACACACTCGCACGCATCGCAGCGAGTTGAATTTGTTGGAAGGTAATCTAGTCGCGTTGGGTATTAATGATATACGTAATTCATCCACGTAATTCATTATTGTTATTGTTGTTATACTGTATATGCAATGTTCCTTCTTAAACATGCCTAAAAAAAAAATTCACTCCTTACAGGCTAGCCTTATTTGGTCAATTATTTTTTATTTATATTGCGCTGTATAGGGTGTAATTTATTGGTGCATATATACCTCCGTTTAGCACACAAAGTTGTAACAAAATTTTTCTTTCTCTTTCCTATATTTTTTTTTTTTTTTTCAAAATATATTTAAAAAATTTAACTTGCACAAAAAAAGATCTTCGGAAATATATATACATTTACGGATCTAACTTGGATTTCCCGCACTATTTACCTTCACCCATCCATCCATCATCATCCTTCCATTCCTTTCTTTTCGCATTCACACTAAGTCAACACATAATTACCCCTCCTTTGTATACATCGTTTCACACCTTGAATACACGATACACACACTTGGCCTAGACCGCAAATCGAAGTGCTGATTGTGATCGAACATATACTCTGAACATTTATTCCATTCCCTTCATAGTTTCGATGTTTGGAAATTGTGTCTTTCACAACTCTTCGGCGATATAAGAATTTCTTCACACATTTGCATTCATTCATTCATTCGTTCGTTCATTTCGTGCCGACATAGGGTTTCTCATCGAAAGGTATGATGACTATTTCCTCTCGAGCCTTCAGGATTTCTAACTCTCTATTGAACATTTCAAACTTCAGGTGGTTAATGAAAAAGGGAGTGAATTATAACATAATAATTTATTTATTAAAGATATATTAGATAGATAGATAGATAGAATATAAACCTACGATAAATGAGCAAGAATCCACAATCTCACACAAAGGAGTTTCATTTTTCACGCCTTTCCTCAAGGCATCATCTGCCACATCATTATAACAATCGTCATCACACCACTTCCATAACCATGCCGTCATCGGTCTCGAAACGCAGCAAAGCTGATTTTTTCATGAGATCCGGAGTTAGCGAAGGTTTAACACAGCAAAATATGTATCCCCGTTATTCCGGTGGGGGAGGTAGTAGTTATTCCGCTTATCCGCACCAAAATGTCATGATGTCACGAGAGCGAATGTTGAAGCGGACGTTGAGTTTGATAATGCTTTCGCTCCTTTCAGCATTTGTGACCTACATCTGGCTCTCGCAGACAGATCGACCGCATCAATTCTCCTCTTACTACGATCTGCCGAATCGCCACCACCATCAATCAAAAGACTCGCGTTCCTACCCCATAACACCTTCCACTCCATCCTTTCACGAACAGATACACCTCTACCGCATACTCGGCAACGACCTTCCACCCCGTCATAATCCCGGTCAGGTCTTAAAGAATTTGGTGTTCATTTTAGAAAACGAACCGGCGTTTCCAAACACCAAGAAATGGTGGTTGTTGAATCGAATCGTGGATCCGGATTATGAAGAAGCCATACTGGAATTACTGAGGAGCCATCAGCAGGAGTATGTGAGGATACCGTTTCAAGTAGACGAGTACTTTAAAAGAGATTTCCGGCTTGAGGATTTTCCGGAGCCTGATTTTTTTCACAGTTATGATTACGCGAATTTCTCGAAAGTGGCCAAGTTGAGAACCATTGATTATACATATTGCGATAAGAATATATATGCGATGAATAATGTAGGTGTGAAGGGTTAATTCAATGGTTGGTAAAGGGTGGTGTTGATCGATAGCATTCTGGTGTTAATGCCGTGATCACTTCTATTGACTCATCTACTAATAAATTCATCCTCTTTGATGTACACTAAACAGAACGGCGGTAGGAACGCCGCACTGAAACACGGAAAATCTCAACCAAACGCTCGATGGATAATGCCATTCGATGGGAATTGTTTCCTGACCACCAACGGATTCAAGGAGATCATTTCGCAGATTGAGACGTGGGGGGATGACTATAAATATTTTTTGGTACCTATGAAAAGATTACTGAACAACACGGAACTGCTGGTAGGACCCGATCAGCGACCACCCACTCCTGAAGGTGAATGCTCTTTCCATTCGTAAAGATCATGCTAACGATTCTCCCGTAACCCGAATTTACGCCTTTTTTTTTTTTTTTTCAACTATGAATAAATGTTAATTTTCTTTAGAACCACAAATTATATTTCGACATGACGCTCAAGAAGTGTATAATGAGGATATGCGATACGGTAGAAGATCGAAGGTGTGTGGTCGTCAACTTTTTTTTTCTTTTATTTTCCAATCTTTTTTTTACTTACTGCTCAACAAAGACTTTTGATCTGACCCTCAACACTCCTTCTTTGATGTGTAGTTGGAAATGTTGTGGCGACTGGGCGTTCCCACACCACGACGGATGCTTAATAAGCCCTCCGTGCCATGGGAATCACAGGATGCTCCGTACCTTGCTCCGCCCAAGGATAAATATAAAACTGTAGGATGGATCTTTAGACTTTTCTCGGGCAGAGCATCGTTAGAAGAATCTGGAACATTGCGAGCGTTCAATCGTCTGATAGCAATTCAAGACTTTCTGGATGGAATTGATGAACGAATAGCACGAGTGAATCAGGGATTCGATCCCAATCGATTGTCATTGTATGAAGAGAGGAACTTGAATCGCGCTAGGATAGACTATTGGAGCGGTCGTAAGGATATTCAGAAAATTGTGGACGCGATGGTCGATCGAGCAAATAATATTGTGTCGACCATTTCCGACTGGTACAAGTTGAATGACGCATTGCCTTCAGACTCGAGCACTCAGGTTAAGTTTTTGGGGGTGGACGGCGATACGGATTCTCGGGATAAAAAATCCAATTTGAAATTGATAAAAAAAGTAAAAACCATGAAGCCGCTTCTTGCAAATAAAGGTTCATTGTCCGAGGAATTCCACCAAGACGAATTCGGGCAATACATTTCCACCGCCCCCACAGAACTACCCGACTTCTCCACGTCACTACTCTTCGAAAACGTCACCGTCCTGACGTTTGCCCACTATTTCTCCGGCAACGTCCTATACTCTCATTGGGCGGCAAATCTAGTTCGAACATTTGTCCTTTCATCATACGGCATATACGAGCAAGACGAGTTGGAGACTACCTCGCACAAAAATGATCAGGAGAACACGAGAAACGAGGGTTATGGCTTCCCACACTTGAACAAGATCCCACGAGCTATTCCAAAATTCACCCTGAAGAAGAATGTTGGCAACGGTAATTCTTCCATGTTCCCGTACGACTTGATCGAGACAGATCCCAGTTACTTTCTGGATGCTTGTAGGCTACTTTACCAAGCAAAATCACTGACGCACAAGGAATACATTGAACTTCAACAATTCGCCTCGCTATGGTTGGAATACCTGGTAAATTCATGGGAGGGCGTGGAGAGAGCACATCAACCCGACCATCGTAGTACCTTTTATGATCTACAGGTGCTCTCCCTGTCGGGATTTACAAATGACGTGAGACTTTACCTACGAGTCTCCAACCGGATACGAATGCGCATCAGAAAACAATTTAATTTATCCAATGACGCCTCACTGATCTCCCAGCCGTATGAAACGAAGTACATTGAAGATCACGATGATCTTGAAAATTCAGGAGCCATTAGCAGAACGGCGATGTATGAGAATGAAAAGTTCAGATACTCGAGTTTGAATCTTCAATACTGGATGCTTATCACTCGACTAATACAGAACGTAGGAATAGGTCATGACCTATGGAGTTATAAGGCAAAAGGATTGAAATTGTCGAAGATCGTGATGGAACATATGAATAGATATTCCAATCGCAAAACCATGTTGGACTACTTCAATAGTAATGTTAATATCAACCACGATTACGATGGAAATTTGGGCGAAGCAGAAAACAGGGTCAATGCTAAAAACGAGATATCAGCATCACGGACTCGTCTCATAGAAAATGATGCACACATACTGAAACCATTAATATATATAGCTCAAGCGGCTCACGAAAGTAATGATAGGCGGTTGAAGATAAAGCATGAGCACGGAGACGAACACGATTACTTTCAGCAATACATGGATAATTATAGTGATAAGATGGAGTTGACAGAGGGGGGTTCGGGGAGTGCGGAAAATAGAGATGAGTGGAGAAAATTGGACAATATTTTGGGAATAGGGAGGGAATCACGAGAGCGAGGGATACCACCTTTCTGGATGCTTGGTGTGGCTTAAAGGCGGTAATTTACATAATAATCTTAGTGATACTACACAAAATCCAAAAGTAAAATAATTCATAGTAATCGTGGCAAAAATAAATAATAGAGCATTTTCCTTGGGATTAATCATCACACGATTCTTTTTATCTAACACAAAAAGATAAATAAAATAATTGTAAATAAAATTACGAATCTTTACATTCTGATCTATTTGACGAGGGCATGTGTAAGTTAAGTTTCGCGGCGTGCCATACACCCCTCACATGATTTTATTTAAAAAAAAAAAAAAAACGGAGTAATGTGAATTCGTCCGAGACACTTTGTTCACAAAGAAAAAAAAGGTCACCTTTGCAAACCGATTACCATCTGTGAAAGTTCAAACTATCTCAATACAAAAATAAATATCCGTTCGATTACTTGAATCGGTTGTAAATGAATTCACCGTTGAACTCAAATATTTTCTTGTCACATTCAACATTGACGTCTTGCCAGTCGGGTTGAATCAGAGGAAGTTTTGCGGGGTCCAATTCTGGCCAGTTCGCGAGAATGACCCTCATCAATTCTTTAAAGAGAATCTGGATAACATGAAAAGGGTGTTTTTGTTAGCCAATTCTTCACCTCATTTCGAGATATATAACTTTTCATTTCTCGTTCATCATTTCTCGCTTGCCTCATTTCCGAGGGAACTCAAGTGTAACCCGTCACTCAAATAATCTTTCAAAGTCAAACCAGCGTTCCCCTCCACAGAATCGGTGATCAACTTCCACAAATCTACCACCGGCACGTCCAACTCTTGCGCCACCTGTACACAAGCTAACGCATATTGTCTAGTGAGATCAGATTTCCTGTCCAATACATTACCCCGGGCAATTCTCCACGCTTCTTCGTCAAGGGGTGGGGGCGTGATGAGTATAACCCGAGTTTGGAAGTGATCGGGAGATTGGGAGTTGGGATGCTTTACCATATTGACCATTTGAATCAGATTTTCTTTGTACCTGTCAAGCTCCACGCGCTGATTAAAGGATTCCATGACAGAATCATTGGCACCAAAGAAGATTGTCATTAAAACAATTTTTGGTCCATTTGGATACTGTGATTGTTCTTTGGGGAGTAATTGAGCAAGCAATTCTTTTGCCCATTCGGTATTATAACCTTTAGAAAAAAACAAATAAAATTAAATAAAATCATTGTCGAGAATAGTTGGAACAATCACTGCACTTCACTCTATCATCCTTCTACCTGAAAATCCCCTATTATAGACGTCCAGCTTTCTCGCATAGGCTTGCGAAAGTTCGGCGCCCCATCCTTTATTCTGAGCACTAAATCCTGTCTGTCATTGATTTTAACAGTGTATCGCATCGTTATAACAGAATGAACACATTGATAACCATCGATTGCAAGGTCACCCTGCGCTCACCTGAGTAATCGAGTCTCCGAATAATACTATCTGGTTATAAAGATAATTCATCCCTTTTCCTTGGTGCAGATGTCGAAAGGATGTAAATCGGGAGATACGTATCAAGTTCGGACCCTTTATACGAATTATTTGCCTAATCTGGCGAATAATAAAATGCGTGTCTCTTTTTTCGTATTTAATGATACAGCAAAGTCGAATTTTGTATCGATCCTTATTAGCGATACTTCTATGCTTAAATGGCGATACGTGATCTAAAAAAAACTCCATAAAATTATTTATAAATATTATTTATAAATATTTATAAAAACATTTATCAATTAGACAAACAGTACAACTTATATATGACGCAGTATACTGTAAATCAAAGAATCAAATCAATATACAAGTTTGCGGAGCTTTGTTTTTTTTTTTTTTTTTTAAAATATACTGTATATATATTTTTTTTTTCGTAATGCCCGCAGCCAGGCTAGATTGTAGTTTATCAATTAATTGAAAACTCTCATTTGAGCAGCATGATACAGCTAAACATTTATAATCAAATCTAACTAATTGTCATAGCATTTAATTTGACTTTGGAAACAATATTTCACTCTATAATGGACTTTGGGTAAATATCTTTCTAGTCCATCACTTTATTATTAGCAGGTTGTTACTTACTTGTTTCACCAAGCCACTGGAATATAGAAAATGGGTTAAAAAAAAAGAGGGAATATAAAAAATATATAAGTGTATCACAAGAAAATAAAAAAGAAAAAAGAGAATAAAATACTCTAGTTTTCTTCAAAGATCTAATTTTCAAGATTTTTTCTCAACAAAAAATATTCTATTGAAATATTGATTATTTAAAAATTTTATTTATTCTTGATCTTGATTTCTTTCTCATATATTATCTGAGAAGACTTATCAATTAATAAGAATTTTTATTTTCAAAAACATGCTTAGTTCATTTACTTATAATAGACAAGTATTTTTTTTAAAAAATATTCTTACATTAGTCAATATAATAATTATATTATTTTTGTTAACATTAATTATATATATAATTTTTTTAAATTCATAGTTAGACCAATACTATATATTTATTAATCATTGAAAAAATTAATAAAAATACAAAAAACAATTGCATTATAAATAAACTAAATCTTATATTGACTTACTTATCAACCATTTTTAATTTTCAAAAGAGCTTCAATATTTCTTTTTGAACAATAACTCTTTCCGCTGATCCTCTGACCACATACAAAAAAGATGTTTGCAAGAAGTTTTTATACTTCTTTGCTAATAAAGTCTTA